TTACAAGAATATGTTTTCTCCAACAGAAGGAAGATATTGAAGCTGCTCTTCGTAACAATAACATGGGCCTGGATGACACCTTGATGGAGCTCAGCAACCGTGGCATAGCAGGCATGGGAGGAAGTAGTGCAGGGGATGCTTGGCGTAACCCACCTCTGGAGGAGCATGCTCCCTTCGACCTCACCAACCCCAACTTCCAGCAACGCTTTCCACCAGCACCACACCACTTGCCCTTCACCAATCAGGTTAGTGTAGTTTGGGTTGAAACTCGGGGAAAATGGAAATGGAAAAGGGGAAGACTATAGGCATGTCTAACTTGAGTTTTTGGCATACTCAGACTCAGATTTTATGGGGATGTGAGCAGATAAGATTTTCATCTTAACAGGGCAGTGCAAAAGAATTTTAGAATTTACATATGTATATGGTTAGAAGGCTGAAACTCATCACTGTTGGATCTGGATGCTTTGCAGGCTATACATGGCCCAAAATCCCAGTCATTAGGCTTACTTGAGTGTCAACTTTCCTGGGTGTGTGGCATGTAGGCTCGGCCCACATGAACAATTGTGCAGTATCAAGACAACGTGCTCCCGCTTTGAAATGTTATCTCTTTTTATGCATAAGCATTTTTTTTTTTTTTTTTTTTTTTTTTTTTTTTTTTTTTTTTTTTTTGCTTTTTTTATTTTCCAAGGTCTGTATTTGTCATTTGATATACTGTATCAAGATGGTAATAGACTGTTCATGTTGAGCAGACTCCTCCATATTACCTCCAGGTAGTCAACAACTCTGTCCAATAACATGGTGTCAATTTTAGTATTTTAGTGTACTGTTTTCTGTAATGTCAATTTTAGTATTTTAGTGTACTGTTTTCTGTAATACACTATGTGCTATGAGTCCTTGGGTCAGATTCACTAACATACTATCATAACATTTTCACCAGCAGTTATTTACCATTGCATTTACCAGTGATAGGAAAGTAGGATTCATGATGAAATGGTAATCCGTATCGACTGTTACAATTGTAAATCGACTCATTCTAATATTAGCCAACAGAGGTCTCTAGAAAAGTAATTCCACCAATCAGCAAGCGCCATGCATAGTCTCTTAGGTTCCTTTTGCCAATCTTGTAATATGTAAACAACTAGACAGCGAGATTTAAAAATCATTGTCACAACTAAAACACTATTTAAGTATATGTATAAAAGAATTATTTAATCATATCCATCATGTGGGATAAAAATAGACTACCCTGGCTATTTACCTTAAAAAGAAGAACCAATACAAACACTTATTATATCATTGTTTACCGCAAACCAAAGAAAGAGTCCAAACAGCTTAAATTTATTTATTTATTTCTCATTACTACTAAACAAAGATATGATCCAAACACAATTTTGATTCATCCCTATCTATAGAAAAATAAAGAAAATATTTAAGCTCCTTGCCCATGCACTTTGGAGTTTGTTGTCTTTTGCCTATATGCCAACAGACACAGTTGCTATACTCGTTTAACGTTGTCCATATATCAGCAAGGTATTGTTTTCTGTAGAATTTGTAATTATTATATCAGGGAACAATAATTCTTTTAGAGTTCACTTAAATATCCATTCCATGCACTCTACAGTCTAATGTAGACCTATGTCTACCTATGATTTGACAAGAATTTGTGTGGATTTTATTCTTGCTAGTTACATGTGAAATTTGCATTTCTTTGTCATGTCTAGAGTGTTTGCCATTATAGTTAGTATTTCAGATATAAAAACAAACCAAAAAGTTTGCTTAAATATTGATTTTTGGACGATATAACAATTAATGACATAATCTTCCTAGAAGTTACAAGTACTCTGACTACTGGTAAAATTTACCATGGTAACTCTGATGGCAAGTTATTAGTGAATATCACTATTTTTCATAATGTGACTGTTGCATCACCCAGATCCAATAAGTTCAGTAATAGTCAGCACTGTAAATATGCTAAGGGCTTCAATAAACAGATACTTTGATGAACATGGCCTCACTGGATTCCTTTATTTTTTTCAGCAGGGTAGCTCTGGCAATTCTCCACATGTACGTGCTCTGATGCAGCACATCCAGATGGCAGTGCAGGCGGGCTACCTCAACCCCCAGATCCTGAACCAGCCTCTAGCACCAACTACCCTCATGCTTCTCAACAACATGCTCTCGCATATCAACATGCTTCAGAAATTCACGCAGCAGCAGGCCATATGGCAGGCACAGGCTCACATTAACAAGAACTCGTCACAGACTCTACTTTCGCTCAACGTCAGTATTACCAAGACCAAACAGCAGATCCAGAATCTCCAGGTAAAGAAGCCTTTTTCAATATACTTTGTTGTTTTTTTAAAACTAGATAATAGCTTAGTGAAATTATGTAGTTAGAACTATTACTGTTTTTAACTTTTTCAAGTTATTCTTTCTGAAAACAGGAACTTTGTAGATTATAAACTTCATTTGAGTTATTCTTTCTGAAAATGGGAACTTTGCTTTGGATCAGATATTATTTTAAATAGTAGGGAAATAAGATTTATTTTCTAAATAAAATAGGGATTAATGTTTCTCTGCTTTTGCTTCCAGAATCAGATAGCTGCTCAGCAAGCTCTCTATGTTAAGCAGCAACAGCAGCACCAACATCACCATCAGCAGCTCAACTCTCATATGACTGGCGGTCCCCCTGGCACCCAGAATGATTTCTTCAACAAGCCCAGTCTTCCAGATCAGCTGTGTAGTAGCTTTGATTTCCTGGCAGTCAACAATAATCCAGCTATTATCAATGTTCAGGTATTTAGCTCATTTGAGAGGCTTTTGCTGAATTTCACTACTATGTGGTGCTTTATTTATTTGTTGGTGGACATTAATGACAGTGTTATATGGTGTGTGTCTGCTAAGTGTCAGATTAATCACAACATTTGTATTCAGAATAGTGAACAAAGGAAACACATGAACCAAATTTTGTTTTAAAAAAATATATAAAACATAGTTCTGAAGATGCCCCCCTCAAAATATATTTAGAATTTTAAAACTTTATGCTAGAAAAAAGATTCTCCCCCTCAAGAAACCATCAATAAAGTTGGTCAAATTGTCCTGGAGGAGTGATGGTTAAGTGTAAAAAAGACATTTTAAGATTTTGTCTTGAGAAGTCAGAGCTTACTTGCAGCTCTTATCCTCAGCGAGTAAAACAAGGAAGGGAAGAACAAAAAAACATGAATGGGCTGAAGGCCTCTTCGCTATACTGCTTCTTCAGGACAGTATGGCGAAGTAGTATAATGAAAAGGCCTTTTCTCATATTCATGTGTTTTCTTTTTCTTTCCTTTGTTGTTTTACTTCCATTTTGTTCGACATGAATCCCACACTTATTCCTCAGCATGGACTGATAAGTTATATAGGCTGAAGAGATCTGCCTGGTGCCTAAAAGCTAGTGAAAACCACACCTTTTATTCTAGAGCATTTTTACAATCAGTAAATGTTCGGTAACCTTATTGTTGTGACTATTACTTAAATGTCACCACATGATTTAAATTTTGTAAAATTTTCCAGATTATTTTCATATTTGTAATTTTTCGGATTTTTCAAATGAAAAAATAAAATCACTCTGGAGGGCTACCTTCAAGTCCTCGCTCTGCATATTAATGTATGTAAATAGTATTTATTGGTTTGTAATAGGTTCCTAACAATCAATATGATATGAATTCAGCAACAGGGAAGCCGCTTGCACCAGTGGAAGTTGCCATCCCTAGAAAACGATGAACCCGACTTCATTCGTGCACCTGGGGCTCCGGGAAAGCCTTCCATGCCTCAGTCTCAGTCATCTCCAAACCTGACACCTCTGCTCGGACCCTCTAACAGGTGAGTTGCTGATCCTGCTTTCTTCTGTATAGCATTTCTTTGTGTTGTATACGAGAGTCTATCATTCTATTATTAACCCATTCGTCCCGGGTGTCACATATATGAGACACAGGGAAAAAATAAACAGTGTCGGGCTGCCCGCCAGTGCGATGCTGTCTCGGAGCCGTGCTCCGCGGCAGAAGCGGCGCGGCCGGGGGCGGACAGACTCCGGGGAAGCTCCGCCCGCCGATTTTGTAGCTGCCCGGATTTTAATTTTGGCTACAAAAATGTACCTGGCGCGGGTGGGTTAAGCACTTCCTGCCGGTTGGCATGTATGTACATGCAATAGCTGTTGTGGACCATGCAGTGGATGGCATCGCATCATGACAATTCCCGTGCTGGTGGCTCATTTGATGGGGCTTGTTTTTCTCCGATAGTAACAAAATTTCTGTGGTGAAACTTTTAAGGATTAGGACTGAAAGTGAAGATAAACGTGTGTGTGTGTGTGTGTGTCTGTGTGATATTAAGATAAAAGCTCATAGGAGCCTAATGTTGCCTGCAAACTACTGAACAAGCCGCGCACAAAATGGGGAAACTGTCGATGTGTACCAACAATCCAGTGTTAATGGCCACTAGTCAGATTCTTAAGCCGTTGTTAATGGGTTAATAATAATATGATGTGATGGCTCTCATAATGTTGTTTATTGAGCAATTTGTGCCCGTAGAGTAGGTGGTGAACAGTGAAAATATTTATTTTTTCTTTTTCTTTTTTCTTTGTAGCACGTGGTCTCTGAACCGGACTTCTGAGTCTGGTTGGCCTGAAAGCAGCAGCGGAGGAAGTGTAGATGTTGCTAACAATCCTGGTGTAGAAAAGGTGGTGCCAAATATGGATTCTCGGTGGGTCGCTTCGTCTCAAGCCAACGCGTCAGGGTCTTATGGCCTTGATATCAAGCCATTTGAACCAGGGAAACCATGGATGGTATATAAAAAATTACAATAATTGTTTTTTTTATAAGTAAAGGTATTATATGAATAATTATCTTTTATTCATAAATTTATTAGTTGTTTTGCATGTACTTGTTTAGTGATGGTTGACATTATTATGTGCTAGCAATTAGTTACTTAAACGACTGGTAATATCATCACTATCTTTCGTTTAC